AGACTTATATTTTTGATATTTATTTTATATATTTAAATGCCATTTAACAAAGAAAAATCAACCAAAAAAATGAGTTCGCGTGTCACCTCTGACATGCGTGTCATAGGTTCGCCATCACTGGTCTAGCCTGTCTACCCCAGGGAAGGGAGGCACTCTTTCTGCCCCTGAAGGCAAAAAGAGGTGGGAATTAGGCAGGTTACTATGGATAAATTTCCCAGAGGCTTTGAGAACCAATCATAAGATGCATTTTATATTCTAATGAAAGTGAGTAGGGCGAGAAGTACCACATCGCAGAGTATGGCCCCAGCCCCTGGCAGGTTGTAGACAATGTTGATGACCACTCTGAGGCTCAAAGGATTAAGCAATAACCACTAGGACAGCATTAGCACCAGTGGAAAGAAATGAAGACCATCCAAAAGAGAGTCAACAAAGGTTATTTATTCCCAACTTGCTGTAGCAAGGGAGGCACCCAACATCCCTGCATTTGGCAGACTCGAAGACAAGCGATGGGAACGTTTTATAGTGGAAAAGGGAGAAGGCCTCAGGTGTGCCCTGGCTGAGGTGGGGGCCTGGGGTGGCTGGAGGAGGGCTATCCAGAAGCAGGAAATCATCCTATGTGACTGCTAGCGAGGTTATTTGGTTTCCTCTGCTCGGTCCTGAGTTGGAAGACAGCGGGGAAGGGAGGGGAGGTTAAGGAAACTGGCAGCTATTGACCAAGTCCCGACGATTTTGCATTGATTGCTGCACAGGTTGTGGTTTGGCTTCCCAAAGTGGTGGCTGCAGAGATGGTGGGTCAGAATTCTATTGTCATATGTGGTCTGTTCATTTGTATTGTGGACGAAAGGGGCCACATGCAAACCTGACAGGCTCAGGGAAGGCCTGCATGGCGGTCTTGCAAACTCAGAGACCTAAAGTCACCACAAAGAATGGTCTGAAATTAAACTTTAACTAAAAGCAGTGATGGTGGGTAGTTACATCCTAGGCCAGTATCTTCACTGACGAGGTCAACCTTTACCTTCACTGAGCCTGTCTTTTTGCATCTATAACATACCCTTGAAATGTCTGAGTAACTTGTAACTTCCCTTTTTCTGGAACCCTCGGGGCACAACGTAATGTGCCTGGGAGCCAGGACAGAGACCACAGATTTCTTCATTGTTATCATGTTCATTGTTCCTGCACCCACCTAAGTATGTGTCCATCATTTTACTTTTTATCCAATCCCAGGGGTTTCCCCCCCCCCCTGCTTTGCTTTCTCCCGCCTCTCTAGTCTATCACCAGTGGATTTCATGTACCCCACCTACGTCCCTTCCTTTGACTGCAATGTATAAATACAGATGTAACCCGCCATTCTCTGGAGCATTATCTCAGTTCCTTGAGGTTCTGCTTCCCGGCAATTGTCGACAGTTTGGCTCAAATAAACTCACAAAAATCCTTTACAGGTTTGAATGTTTTTATGTTCACAGCATATCTAATCGCGCACACCCTCCCCGTTCCTCCCGGCAGAGAGGGCTGGGGTAACTCTTTACAAAGCTGGAGAAGACCTGGGGCCCTTCAGCAGCGGCTGAAGGAGTGATTGACAGGGTGGGTCCTGGATTAGATGGCAGAACCGCCCAGAGAGGTTCCCAGAGGAAACTAGCTGGGCAGAAATGGGAAATGTGTGTCTTTCTTCTTGGAGAGGATGAGGGTGTCGCTGTCCTTGATACCATAGCTCCCCAAAACCGACCAGTCCTGCAGGACCTGGCCGAGGAACTGCAGCTCCTGCTGCTTTCTGAGCAGCCCCTGCTTGTCTTCTATCTGCTGCTTCAGGCCCAGCACGAAGCTGTTGGGGTCGATGGCATAGGCGTGGCTCCCACCTTCCGGATTCCTCACAAAGACCTGGATCTCCGGGGGGATGGTCTCCAGCAGGCAGATGCGCGTGTCGGAGAATATCCCGAACTCCGCCAGGGAGCTGCGGCTGCTGAGGAGCCTCCGCTCGCCGCCCGGAGTCTGGAAGGACAGACGCTGCAGGCCCGTGCAGCACTGTCTCCGCTGGATCTTCTCCTTGACCTTCCTTATGGAGCTATAAGGGTTCACCATGAGGGTCCAATCTGGGCAGCCCCACTGCTCCACGGTCACCTGGATGTCTCGTGCCCTCTGCAAGGGAGACGCGAGGGGTTGAGTCACCACATTCCTCTGTCTGACATGCCAACGTTCCCCTCACCTGTCCTTATCTTTCCAACAGCAGCAGCAGCAAACATTCAGGGAGTGCCAGCCACCTTCCAGGTCCCATGCTGGGTGCCTTTTATTCTCTTCTTAATGCATTTTATTCTCACAGCAGCCCTAGGAGGGGTTGGTTCTCCTATTATCCCATTTTACAGATAAGGAAATTGTGGTCAAGAAGGGTGAAGTGGCCCAGTTAGTGTGGCTCAGTGGTTGAGCATTGACCCATGAACCAGGTCAGGGTTCAATTGCCAGTCAGGGCATGTGCCTGGGTTGCGGGCTCGATCCCCAGTAGGGGCGTGCAGGAGGCAGCCAATCAATGATTCTCTCTCATCATTGATGTTTCTATCTCTCTCTCCCTCTTCCTTCCTCTCTGAAATCAATAAAAAAATATATATCCTATATAATAAAAGGCTAATATGCAAATAGACCAAACGGTGGAACACCCGAATGGTGGAACACCCGAACAACAGTCACTATGATGTGTGCTGACCACCAGGGGGCACGTGTGGGGCTGCTGGCAGACAGGGGACCAGGGGCCGTGGTGGGAGGGGCTGGGTGGGGATGTGGAGGATGGGCCGAGACCCGCCCTGTGCCCACCACAGCCTTGCGGCCCACAGTTCCTTTCAAGGTGCACAAATTCGTGTGCTGGGCCCCTTGTGTGTGTGTGTGTGTGTGTGTGTGTGTGTGTGT